AAAAGATTTTAATAAAAAAAAACCCTATAAGAAACAATTTTATGATGATTTCAACATGTAAAACATTCAAATCTGAGTAACATATGAAAAATGTATTTTTAAAACTTGATATTTCTGAAAGTTAAATGTCTTAAAATAATTAACTTAAAGACAGGAGTTAGTTAAGATAGTACCTTGAACCAGTTACAAATAGAGCCCACTGTCTCCAAAATGTATTAAAATATACAAGTAAAATCGGATAAAATAACTGCTGAGAAAAAGAATTTTTCACAACTTATCAAAAGAAACTTTAATTTATATTGCTTTTGTATTAAATTTTTACATTAAAAAAAAAAAAAAAAACTAAATTTTGGGGTGCTGCTATGTCTGGGGCCTAGGCCAAATGACCCTAATGGTCACTCTCTAAGCAGTCCTGCTTTAAAGAATAAATAACACTTTAAAATGCTTTGTGAAAGTATCTTTTAAATTAAATCAAACAAAATATCATTGTAGGATTTGTGTTAAATTCAAAAGTTATTTTAAATATAAATATGTTACATGAATAAAAGTAAAAATAATAAAATTAATTCCTCAAAATTATTGTAAGGATACACACTTTAATATCATTATACCTACCTAATAAATGAGTCCAAATATTTCCGGTTTCAGTATGTATTCTAAATATGGAACGAAAACAGGCACTAAATGATGGAAGAGGTGGCCTATGACCTCTTATTAAAAAATCATTATCTTGAAGCCACTTAGGTAATGAACTAAAATGACAACCCTAAAAAGCATTATAATATAGTAAGAAAAATATAACTTGCATGAATATTTTAAAGTAATTATTACAATAATCTGCAAAATTCGCAGCAAAAGGAGTTAAGGAACAAATGTTTTTGGTTTATTTTATATTTTATTTTATTTTATAAACCTGCCTCAGGTTTCAAACTATTAAATTCTGAAATTCCAAATTGGAATTCTTCAAACATTCGATGATATATTTTATAAAACTTTGAAGTTTTATAAATAATGTCATCATTGTTTGAAAGCATTTGTTCCTTAATTCTTTTTGCTGGAAAAGTGTGAAAAGTTTTCACTTTACAAGTTACCTGTTCTAATTTTTATTTGGATTTTATTATAATAATCAAAAGTTAGAAGTTATAGTCAGGGATGGATTTACACTTGTTAAGGACAAAAACTGTAACGTATGATAGAACCTTTTCTTTCTATCAAATGATAATAAATTTAAGCGCTAGGTCTTAGCTATGGCTCCAAAGTTAAATTTCTTCCACTTAATTATATAGCCTATGGATCAAGGAGTTCTTGAAACTTTAAAGTACCATTATAGAAAGCTCAGCAAACTTATTGAATGGGAAGCAGAAGAAAATGGAGATGTAGTCTAGCATTTTGAAATCAGTCAACATTAAATTAAGGACACAATATACATGGCTGATGCTCATTGGTTTAATTATAAATCAAGTCAAGTAAAATAGTCCATTTGGCTTAATCTATCTAATTGTTTCAATTATATATTGTAATTGTATTGTATGATACATAAATATCAGATATATACTAATTCTGAAATATTAGAAGAATTATGTTTTCCACTTGTTATTTATTGTATATCGCAAACAAAATATTTAAGCTATTATTTTGATAAATGTATTTAATGGTTGCATAACAAGAATAACAAGTTATGATTATCATGTGAATTTTTGTAAATTATTACTTACATAACATTCTGTCAACATATGTAGCATTGGCTACTGACTTTACCAGGTTCATTATCATTGAAATTAGTGGAAAATAATTGCTAAAAACGTTTTAATGAAGACAATTAAACCTCATTAAAAATATTTTAATTCAGGTGGTTATTTTCCAACTAGCACACAAAAAATTATCAAGCCTTGAAGGTAAATCATGTTACACAAACAAAAGTTAAAATATACTCTATGTTTATATGTTTATGAAAGATCTAAAAAAAAAAATAACAAAAAAACTGACTTCAAATTCAAGGAACTGACTGTCAAATTAAGTCACAATCAATGACATTTACAGATTATTTGTATTGCTTTTTAATATTATACCTTTTCTTATCATCTTTCAGTTGAATACTTCTAAGAAAATAATTTTTTCTCAATATGTATACATTTTCATTAAAAAATTTCATTTAATTTTAAGTTATTTATATTAACTTAAAAAATTATCTTAATTTATCTGCATAATAAACTGAAAAATTATTACGTTAATGACTTACACTTATGCATTGAACATTAAGAGAACAGCACTTTTAAATTATTTTCAAGAAACTTAGTTGTCCCATAGAAATCAATTCCATGAGAAATAACACCATGTAAACTGTGATCATACTGTGTTCGAAAATTTAGCATCTAAATATATTTAAATAATGTAGTACATTTCTGGTGCAGATAAATGCTGAGTTTTTCAAATTCTAGTATATGTATTTGAAAAATGTTTTTAGTACATTTTTAGAATTTAATAGAATTTCATAGGAAATTTTGATTTAGTTCAATTTTTCAACTTTTAAATATGCTTAAATATGATTGCAGTCAAAATAGAAGTAACTTTGGCAATATTCCTATAAAATAAACATGAGCAGTTATTTTAGAATGTATCAGTATTATTTTTGGCTAAACAAAATGTAAGAGCAAATTTCTCATTGAAACATGCTGATTAGGTAAGTGTTACAATTAGAAAATACTTCAAAAAATTTCTCATAAATTTACAATGCTATTCTGAAAGTTAATTTTAATCCAAATTGACAATAGGTTTTACTCGAAAACTACATAATCAAGTATAAGTATGATAGAATTAATTGAATCGAATGATTTTATATACTATAATACAGTACGTTATGTTAATGTTACATTTTATACCTTCCATAACATAATAATTTTTATCTTATAAAATCATTTGTAATAGAGAATGATAATCTTTTATATTTAAACAGATAAATTGAATGTTTGATAATGTTATAATAAATTGGATTTTACCATTTAAATTTTTTCTGATTCAGATCTACAATACTGTATGATATAATCTGGAATTTATATAATATATATTCCAGATTATCTAAAATAATATTAAATTGTCTGGAATATTTGTACCAATTTTTGAGCTACTAAGTAAAAAATTACACATTTTGTATTATATCTTTAAGGATATTTTATCATTATCTAACAAATAGATCAGAACTACAAGATAACTGAAAATTCTGAAAGCTTAGAATTAAAATCTTAAACATGATATGCAGATCTTCAAGTTAATCTATTTTTTCTATCCAAAGCATTCTAAAGGAAATGGAAATGATGACAATCTAAATAAGCAAGATATGAAGAATACAATATATGATTCTAAGAACTACCATAGATTCTTTCTGGTTTAACAGTACAATATGTTAATATACATTATTACTGATAAAAAATTACATTTTTTCTAATTCATAAGTGCTGGATATTTTTAGTAACTATCTATTGCAACTTGTGTAATTAACACAGTATCAGTTAGCTATGATGATTTTATTGAAAAAATCTGGTAAAAATTCACAAAAATTTCATATCTATTTTAGGGAAACATATTTCATAAATCAATTACTTAAAATTAGCGTATTAAATGTAAAATACCCATTTCTTTTCATTCTTTTAAATGACTATATGTAGTAGAGCCAAAAATAAACTGAACTTTTGGCACAGGTAATAAAACCTGTCTGTAATAAAATACAAAACATACAGAAACTCTTTCACCATATTACCAAATAAGCTTCTTCTGCATTTATATACTCCTCCCAGCATCTGTACCATTTGTCAAAGCAGTGCCAGAAGTCACTTTTTATGATGTCTGTAACAACTTTCATCACTGCAACTTACTAAAATTTGCAACTCTTTAATTTCTCATTTTGTTTTAAGGAACAGATAAAAGTCTGCAGAAATAAAATAAAAACAATAAGATTAGAAAAGCACTGTTATGTCCTTTCTGATCAGCTAGTTACAGACCAGGAATGACTGATAGAAGCCAAGATGAAAGCTGCAGAAACTATAGCCCTTAGAGACATTACGAAAAAAAAAAACTTTCCATACTATGAATGCTAGTTTTTCAAACAAATTTTGTAAATATTACACTTCATTTAAATCTTGTTTTATTTTTTCCACAGAAACAACAACTGTGTGATTCTTGGAGAAATTATAAATGTTATACATAAAGTATATTTATAATATAATGTATATAATAAAAATCGACAAAAAATGCTCCAATGAAATTAAAAGATATTTTAAAAACATACAAAAATAAACCAAACAATCTGTTGTTACAATAACAAACAGATTGTTACATTTGGTTTCTATGCAACTAGTCTTCCTTCCTGACAAATTTTACAATACTCAAAAGCATTTGATGAATAGCTTTTTATTTTATATCTTTTATAATATTTATTCTTTTATATTGTATATCAAAGTATCTATTTTGTTACAATTTTCATTATAGTGGAATATTTTTGTTATATGTATAATATAGTGTAGTAATATAGAGTAATATTATTTACTTTAGAAAATTAAATCTTTATAACCAGCATAAATAATCTTTATAATAATCTTTATGATTATTATAACAAGAACTTTTGCTGAATTTTTAATAAAACATCGTCAAGTTCTCAAACACTAACCGAGGCAAAAAGTTTTAGGTATTAGAGTTTACTGATTAATTATTAGCTAGCAGAACTCCATCATGTTTATATATTCCATTAAAAAAGTTCAATACTTTGATTGGTTTTTTTGTATAGATTAAATGTGTAAGATGATGATGATCTTTTAAAAAGGTCAAAAATACTTGTTACAATACTCTATGCCGGCTAATAAAAGTTTGATTATCTGATACTAGTTTCTAGTTTAAGATTTAGTTTGAATAATTTATTTCTTTGATTACATTAGTCCGTCAAGAAAATTTTTAATTGCAAGTGTTTACGACTATCTTATTGTTAAGAAATGGACCATCTTTTTTGAACATAAAAATGATACCTTCCAAGCTTCTTGCCAAACTTTCCTAACAAGTTGTTCTGCTTGTTCTGCTTCTTCAAGAACTTTTCTAACAATATGTTCCGCATGTTCTGCTGCCCTTGCTGGAAGAGATAAATTAACTATGTCTACATCTATATCTTCTTCTCTGATCTGTAGATATATAAAATTGATAATAGAGATTAATAAAAAAAACTTAATATCATAAATTTTGAATGTGCAACTTTAAATAATCTTATTACATTTATTCGATTTCAATAGAAATTATAATACAGATTACTTATTAAATTTAATTATTATGATTTAAATTATGACTAAAAAAGTATATAACTAAACATTATTAATATTATCAATAATTAAATTACAGAATTTGGCCAAAAGATAATGGTTAAGCTGCTGTCATGTGCTACAGTAAAATTAATATTGCAAAGAAGAAAGAATTAAACTCTGAAAAAGTGCTATCTAATGGCTAATATGATATATGACATGGTCCTAATCAAAATTAAGAGTTATTTTAAGATGTTTTTAATCCATTTCACAAAATTAGTATTCTATATAGTTCAGTATTTTTTAATTGTAAGCTGAAATAAAAATGTAGATAATTTTATCATGAAAATTTCCAATTATTATTTCAATTAAGAAAATTTAATATTTAAAATTAAAAATTTAGTAAATTTCCAGTTTTATCAGAATTTAAAATAAAAGATACTAATACAAATGCTTGTAAGTATAAAAAGCCCATAGCATACTTTATTTTAAAAATATTGACACATATCTTTAGATCACAGACAAGTACAGTAAGACCACAAGAACAAGAATGAAATTCATTCTAGATTCTTTATGCCTTCAAGCCTTTACATTATTATCTTATATATAATTCAGAAATTGACTGTCTAAAAAGAAATTTAAAATAAATTTGTTTTCATTTTATATAAAATTGACCCTTACATACAAGCTCAAATGTTGAATATTTTTCTACCAATCATGCCATAAAAATTCAATTGTGTTAGCATAAAAATTTAAATTTTCATGTTTTTTTACACAACTAAAACTGCCTTTTTCCACATTTTTTCACATAATTATGAATTATGTTTATTCATATATTTGTTATTATTTGCCGGAATCATTTTTTATTTTACAGAGTACAATTTATTTAATCTGTTAATTTTTTCTCTTTTGATGGGCCTCTACCAGCTATTTCTGCAATTGATTTTTCTATGTTATTTATAATGTTGATGGCACTTTTCAAAATTGAATTTGCTGCTTCTATCTTGATTAGATCTTTTTTCCTACATGCTTCTTGGTACATTTCTGACTCTTCATTAAATTCTATCCTTCTGGCTTGGAAGTTAGAAGTTAGATCAGGAATTTTTCAGAATGTTGATGTTCCTTAGGCTTCATTTCTTTGCTTCCTCTTACTTAGTAATTCTTTCCTTACATTGTGTGAATTCTTGGTCATCTGCAGATCATGTCTTATTATTGGAACGATCTCCAGGTTTCCATTGAGTCTGTCACTGAAGGATGAATTAGTTCTTAATCTATTAATGCTTTCAATAATTAGACTTGCTCTGTCTGGGCAAAATATCCTTTTGTTTTTGCTAAACCTTCTTTTGACATCTGTGCTTTAAGAAAGAGTTAACTCTTCTATCTTTACCAGTTGCCAACGATTTCATAGTTTGCTGTACCTGCTTGTTACTTTATGTTAAACACTTTAACCAGTAATCGTCAATCCTATAGTGCGACAACATGAGTTCCCTGATTTTATGTCATCAATATCTGAGTTTACTAATAGTATAGAGTCCTGAAATATACTGTACTATAATGAAAGACTGAACTGCCAAATTTAGTCAAGTCTTACTTTATAGCATTAACTATTTCCATTTTAGAATATCTATTTAAAATAACTACTTATTTGTGTATTTATCTGATTTAAAGATTTTTTTTAATATAAGGTATCCTAACCTGTATTATTTAATGAGTAAACTAATAAAAATTGAATTAAATATGACAGATCAATGAAGTTTAAATAGCTGAATGAATACAGTATTCTAAATAGCTAAAAATTACAATGATTCATGGTTAGGTTAGTAATAATGAATCACCACACACCTGAGTATATTATACAAAACACTGCTCATAAAACTTTAACCAGTGCAAAGCACAATCTATCAGTCAATACAAACGCTTTCAGACCCCTCCTGGGTCTTTCTTCAGGCAAAGAATCATTTGGAATGATTTTTAAAATATGATAAATAGAACAGAATCACGTGTTTAATAGCTTCAAAAATAAAAGTCTTTATGTAACATCATACGTCATACAAAATCTTTTCTTTTTTATCCACAAGTTGGTCGTAGAAGCTTGTTGTCAAGCAAAGTCATATCACATAAACCTTATCAATCCCCTTTTTTTAACCACCTTCCTTTATGTAAATGATGCATTTACTCATCCAGCTGCAATAGGGCTTGCCACGCCAAAGAAAGAGTGATCTCATCCCTGGAAAGAGTGATCTCATCCCATGGGCGATGATGTATTGTACGCCCTTTAGATCCCAATTTGCTCCAACCAATTGAGGTGGTCCACATATGAGGTTGTGACGATTAACTTGGCATTCGAAAAGTCGGCTATAATCTCAGGATCAGATGCGTAAGTTGATAATGAAGTGGAGCATCTGTTATGTTGAATATCACGCATATGCTCCTTCCATCTGATTCCAACTGCACGTTTCGTTGAACCTATGTATATTAAGTCCTTATCAAATCGGTGGTCCCTGAGTGGTACTTTACACACCCCAGGCAGTCTTTCTTCATTAGACTTGTCCTTCCCACTGCGAAGTAAATCAAACATAGAGGGGCATCTTCTGAACGCTAGGTAGACACCTTGTTGTCTTGCAATTTTACTATATAACGATCTCAAAATTGGGTTGTAGGCAACTGAAATCATCTGTTTGTCTTGGCTTTGGTTATCATTGCTTAAATTATCTTCTATATGAGCAGGAGCTAGCCTTCTACTGAACTGTTGCAATATTTTTTGTATGATGTTATGATAGCCACGGTGTTTGGCTACTTTACATAGATACTGCAACTCCTGTTCCAAAGCCCTTTGAGTAGAAGAGTGTGTGGGCTCTTTTCACGAGGGCCCTAAACGCTGCCATCTTGTACCGGACCAGGTCACACGAGTCTGCCGGAATATGTGTGGGATGGTCAGGTGGTTTGCGGTATACAGAGGTGTGTATGTTCGGTCCTCCAAAACTAATATTCATGTCCAGAAAATGCACTGTGGAACCGCTATGCTGCTCAACCTCGATGGNCAGTATATATATATATTTTTTTTTTTTTTTTGAGATGTTTATATATATATATATGAATAAAATTTGGCAAAATGATTACTCTGAGGAAGCTTTAAAAATCATATATCAGTTCTATAAGCAAAATATTTAATGGTTGGATTTGAAAATATAAAAGAAACAACAAATAAACAAAAATGGAAAAGAACAATAAAATTTCCAGATTTTACAGGGAAATTTTCTATAAGATAGAATTATGATAGATAATACCTGTCATAATTCTATCTACGATTTTCAATAAAGCTTTCTCTTTAACTGTCTCTTCTGACATATACAAATTTTTAAATACAACTTAATGTTGCCTTGTGTTACATATTTATGCTTTTTATTAAGTTTGTACACCACCATGTCAAATGAGAGATGTGTGTCATATAACACAACAGACATCTCATTCATCACAAAATATCTTATATTAGGTTGAGCTGGAGGAACAGGCAACAAGTTCTCAATTCCTTCAACTGTAAACAGATTGAATATTTTCAAATGACGATAAATGTCTTAGAAACTGATGCTTTTGCATGTTTTAAAGACTGTAGCAACTTGCAGTATTTTTCATCACTTACCTAGAAGCAGTTTGTGTCCTTTGAAGAAATTAATTCCTCATGACTTTATCAAAATCCTTTTTTAATGCAGTATGTTTCATATTCATCAGCTGTTTTTTGACAGCCGATAATGTGAAATTCTGCTGTGCGTTTTCAAAATGCTTATAAAATATAAGGAATAGGCTTTACCCAAAGGCATGTGAGTACTTCACACTTTACCTGGATAAACCCCAATATTATATTTTATTTCTTACTTTATCCAATACTGCTGAGTAGTGGGGGAATCTTAGCTCTGCCCATAACATATACAGGGTGATTCAGATCTTGTGGGATAAGCTTAAAGGGATGGTAGAGGTAGAGCATATGACAAAAAACATTTTTTGTATAGGAAAGTATGGCACAAGTGATGCATTGAAGCACAAACACATGAAATAACACAGAAATTGTTTACTTACAGCATCATTGACAAGTGCGTCTTTACAGCAGTGTTTACAATAATTGCAGTAATTGCAACTGCCAACAGTAATACATGCTCAGAGTCATTGGAGTACAGTTTCAAAGATGCCAGGTATTTCTCATACATGTGCAGCTGCAATGGATATTCTAGCAATGAGGTCCTCAACAGAGTTGATTGAATTCTTGTAAACGAGTGCCTTCAGATGTTTCCATAAGAAGTTTGATGCAATTTTGAGCAATTATTGTAAACATTTCTGTAAAGATGCACTTGTGAACAATGCTGTAAATGAACAATTTATGTTTTCCTTTCATGTGTTATTTCATGTTTGTGCCTCAATGCGTCACTTGTGCGCATACTTTCCTATACAAACAATGTTTTTTGTTGCGTGCTCTACTAAAGTGATTATAACTACAGAAACTATAGCAATTAATTATATTTATAATAATTTTATTAATACAAGTAAAATTTTTATACTGAGTTTATATAAATTGAATATTGTTTAAGTTGGTCGCTCCTGTATTATTAGAATTTCTTGTATAGTAAAAGTCATCTAATCCAGCACTCTGTAATATTCTGTAAACCAATACACTCTTAAGATTTGTCAATGCTCTGGGTGGTGATTTTAGGTTGTTGAAGTGTGCAAGTGTTTGTCATGAGGGCAGTTCTGGAAATGATCATTAAAAAATTATAGAGTTTGAATTTGGTGGTAAAAAAATCAAATTTTCATATATACAGAATAAAGATAAATGGATTTCGTGTGTAACAAGTTTGTTTGCATCCTTCCAGTTGCTGTTATTACAGCAACTGGAAGGATGTACA